TCTGTCTATCTCTCTATCTATATATCTGTAATATTTTTTCCTCAGGGAAGTAAGCTTTTTCTCTCAGAAGTTAGGTACGGCTGTCAGATCAACATGATTTTCATACCTATTCCATGACTCTGGAATCAGAAGATCCGAGTTAAAGCCAGTATAGCACTAAATGACTGTGCTACCCAAGGCAAGTCATTTCATCTTTCTGGGGCCTTGATTTCTGGGCGTGAGATCAGAAGCAACAGAGATTAGGTGAGCTGTAGATTGGAATACAGTGGGAGAACGTTTAAGGCCACACATTGAGTAGGGACAGAGCCGGGGCTTAGAACAATTCCCAGGGTTTTGTCCACAGTCCTACACCTTCTCAGAAAGCTTCATCATGAAGCACTTCAGCATACTTTGGTCTGATTTTTTTTTCTCTGTATCATTTACGAATTTTACTGACCTAACCAAATATGTGGTCCTACCAACGTCATGGGAACACAAATCTTTGTCTCATTCTAAACTTATAGTCGGGGATTTGGAGGCCTGAGTGTTATGCCATCTATGGTGTCAGGAGGCAGGCAGGCCTCCGCGTGGTAGTGAGGTGGGGTTTAACTCGAGCCATGGACATCCAGAGGCAGGGTGGGTCCCAAGGCTGGTGATCTCTCCTGGCCTCCAGCCCAGCCCTGTGACTCTTTTATAAGCATCGCTGCGTCTGGCCTAATCAGTTCTCTCTGGATTAGGACTGTCTACAGAGTGCAGCGTCTTACAGCTTAGCCCAGCTTCTTGCGTCTTCAATCCTTGCTTTATTCTTTCCCATATGATTGCTGAATGTCAACACTCTCTCCTTTCAGCATACCAAATCCTGCACGGGGGCGGCAGGCATAGCTCCAAGTAGGCCAAAGTCATGGGCTTTCCTCTCACAGGAGTCATTTAACCACAAGGGAGCTGCAGGATCTCTAAACACTCCTGAGGACTCCATTTAAATATCCTTTCTGTAGGTTGTGGCAATGCCACATTTAACCTTGACCCCCCAAGCCAGGTAGAGAGGCCCTGGCTTCATAACCTCTAGGTGACAGCCTGTGTGACTCTGCTCTGAGCCCTCAGCCACTTCAGAAGTGATTAACCCTGCTCTCAGGGGGCAGGGGGCAACATTTGGCCTCACTATATTCCCTCGCTAACTTTGATTCTTTTCTTTTCTTTCTTTGTTTTGTTCTTACAAAATCTGGCTGAAGAATGTTTATGGTTTTCAGTTTTCAAGTGGAACAAACTCATGATTTTTATGTTATTTCCCATTCAGCATCAAAAACACTATTGCCAGTTAGAGATACATAGCAAGCAGATTTTTCAGCTTCTACCCTTTTTGTATACATATTTCTTTCTTCTCATTTTAAAAATGAACATACAGTAAAACTGGCTGTTATTATGGTGCTTGGTTTTATGAATTTTAATGCACGTATACAGTCATGTAACTATTACTGCAATCAGTATACAGAGTTCTCTCAACCCCCAAAATTCCTTCCTGCTATACCTTTGTTCTCAAGCTGTCTGGCAACCCCTGGCAACCACTGTCCTGTAGTTTTGCCTTTTACAGAATAACATATTGATGGAATCGTAGAGTATGTAATATCTTGAGTCTGGTTTATATCAGTTAGCATAATGCACTTGAAGTACATTCAAGTTGTGTATATAAAGTTTGTTCCTTTTTATTGCTGAGTACTATTCCATTGTGTGGGTGTAGGACAGTGGTTAATCCATTCATCCCTCGAAGTATATTTGGGTATTTCAGAATTTGGTGATTTTATAGGTAATCTGCTAGAAATGTTTGTGTGTAGGTTTTTATATGAATGTATGTTTTTTATGAACATAAATTTTTAACTTTTCTATAATAAAGGCAAAGGAATTATAATAGCCAAAATAATTATGAAAATGAAAAACTGAGTTAGAAGAATCAATTTATTTGTGTTCTATAATCCAGAATACAATGATTGGGTTATATGGTAAGTGTGTGCTTAACTTTATAACTTTTTTCATACTGTGGCAAAGAGTAGTTATTCCACTTTGCATTCCCACCAGTAATGTATGAGAGTTCCAGTTTTTCCACTTTCTTTCAGCACTGAGTATTAGTTTTCAGTGTCTCAATATCAGCCATTTTCATAGATGTGTGATGCTATCTTATATTGGTTTTAATTCACATTTCCCAAATAACTAGTAATGTTATCTTTTCATGAGCTAATTTTCCATCTTTATATCTACTTTGGTGAAGTGTCTATTCAAGCCTTTAGCCCATTTTAAAAACTATTTATTTTCTTACTATTGAACTTTTAAGATTTCTCACATATTCTGGATATAAGTCCAGAATGTGTTAAATATGTGATTTGCCAATATTTTCTACTAGTCTGTGGCTTGTGTTTTCATTCTCTTTCATTGCTCTTTGGAGAGCAAGAGTATTTCATTTTGATAAAGAACAATTTATCAATTTTTGGTGTCATATCTAGGAACTCTTTGCTTAATTCCAAGTCACAAAGATTTTCTCCTGTCTTTTTCTAAAAGTGAATGTTTTAATGTTGTAAGTTTAGACCTATCATCTATTTTGAGTTAGTTTTTGCATTGGGGATATGAGGTCTAAATTGTGGTTCTTTTTTTTTTTTCTTTTTTTTTTGGGGGGGGGAGTATGTGTGTTGTTTCAACACCTTTGTTGAAAAGACCATTTTAGTTCATTTTGTGTTACTAAAACGTAATATCACAGACTGGGTAATTTATTTTTAAAAAGCAATTTACATACATAGTGAGTGAGATGTGCACCATCTGGGGGATGGTCATGATGGAGACTCAGACTTTTGGGGGGAGGGGGGGAAATGGGCATTTATTGAAACCTTAAAATCTGTACCCCCATAATATGCCAAAATAAAAAAAATAATTAAAAAAAAAAAAAGCAATTTATTTCTCATAGTTCTGGAGTCTGGAAACCCCCATATCAAGGTGCCAGCATCTGCTGAGGGCCTCCTTGCTATGCCATCCAGTGGCAGAAGGCAAGAGGGCGAGATAGGATGAGAGAGCACAGGAGAGGGATGAACTCACTCTGCCCTCGTGAACTAATCACCTCTCAAAGGTCCCACCTCTCAACACTGTTGTACTGGAGATTAAGTTTCCAACACAGGAATTTCGGGGGACATATTCAAACCATAGAACTGGCCTTTCTCCATTGAATTCTCTTTACGCCTTTGTGAAAAAAAAATTAGTTGACTGTATTTGTGTGGCTCAGTTTCTGAGCTCTCTATTCAGTTCCATTTTTCTATGTATCTATCCTTTCACCAATACCATACTGTCTTGATTACTTTGTAGTAAGTCTTAAAATTGGGAGTATAATTATTCTGACTCAGTTTTTCATTTTCATAATTGTTTTAGCTATTCTAATTCCTTTGCCTTTCTTTATAAAATTTAGAGTGAGGTTGTCCATGTCTTTAAAATATCCTGCAGTAATTTTGGTTGAAATCGTACTAAATCTATGAATTTAGGGATAATTGACATCTTTACCATTCATGAGCATAGTATGTCTCTCCATTTATTGAGGTTTTCTTTGATTTCTTTCATCTACTTTTTATAGTTTTCAGCAAATAAAATAGGTAGATGCTATTTAGAAGAGTGTTTTTAGTTTCTAAGTGCTTGAGGATTTTTTCCTGATATCTTTCAATTAGATTTATTTCTAGCTTAATTCTATTATGGTGAAAGATCATACTTTGTATTATTTCAATTCTTTTTAGCCATTAAAGTTTGGTTTTGCCCAGAATATGATCCATCTTTGTGAATTTCCTATGTGCACTTAAAAAGGAATATTTCATGTGCTATTATTGAATGGAGTGTTCTACAAATGCCAATTATATTGAGTTGATTGATAATGTTGTTTAGGTCTTCTATTTCCTTACTGATTTCCTGTCTATTATTTCTATGGATTACTGAGAGAGAAATTTTGAAATCTCCACTATAATTGTGGATTTGTCTACTTCACCTTTCAGGTTTTTTCTTCATCTATTTTGAAACCTGTTAGTTGCACAAACATTAAGAACTGTTATTTCTTTTTAGTGAATTTTTTATCATGATGTAATGTACTACTCTTTAGCCCTGGTAATATACTTTGCTCAGGTGTCTACTTTGGCAGATATTAATAAAACCACTTCAATTTTCTTTTGACTTGTGTTTCCATGATATATCATTTTCATTCTTTTACTTCTAACTGTACTATTTCATTTGAAATTAATTCCTTGTAAATAGTATGTAGTTGGTTCATTTTTAATCCATAATGACAATTGCTGTTTTTTATTTGGTGCATTTAGAACATTTGCATTTAATGTAATCATTATGAATTTAGGTCAACCATTTTATGGTTTTTTATTTTCTCTATTTCTCATTCCTCTCTTTTCCATTCTCTGGCTTTTTGGGTTATTTACACATTTTTAATGCTTAACTTTAATTTATCTCATGTGTTTTTAACTATATCTCAGTATATAAATTTTAGTAGCTGTTCTAGGAAATATGATCTATGTATTTAACTTTTTATAGTCCTCATAGAATAAATATTTTTTCACTTCAGTGGAATATAAAAACTTTACCACCATACACATCCCCTTATCTTCCCCCTTTGTATTATAATTATTTTATATATTATATCTGCACATATTGCAAACCTCATATGACAATATTCTAATTTTTGCTTTCAACTATCAAATACACTTAAAGAACTCAGGAGGAGAAGAATAGTCTGCTACATTTACCATTTCTGTTGCTCTTTCCTCATTCCTGATGTTCCAAATTTCCTTCTGGTATTATTTCTCTTTTGCCTCAAGATTTTCTTTACTGCTACAGATCTTCTGGCAATAGATTCTTTTGGATTTTCTTCACTTGAAAATGTTTTCATTTCACCTTTATTTCTGAGGAATATTTTCACTGGATATAGAATTCTCAATGATGGTTTTTTTCTTCAAATATTTCTTTAGATATTCTTTAATAAACACAGAATCTGAAGAACACTGAGATTGCTTTCACAGAACAAAGTCTGTTTCATTTTGTGTTTTATGATAAGAAGATATATTACAAAATGGACATTCAAATATATTATTTATTTGTACTTCTGCATTTGCCCTCAACATTTCAAAGTAGAAAATTTCTAGAGGAAACATAAAATTTTCACTTAAGATAATATGAGATGTTGAGCCACTATAGCTCAAGATCACAGCCTATCATTATTTTAATTAATTTGTCTTCTTCCCACAATTTACTGAAAAGATATATTGTCTCTCATTACAGTTCCAATTGCCCTTTCATTTTATTTTTTCATCCTTTTGTGATCATACCTTCATCATTGCCCTGGCTAGAGACCACTAGTTTGAAAGTAAAAACCAAACAAACCACAAACTCTATCTTCATTAATAATATCACCTGCCTCCCTCATTGGGCTGCTAATTAAAGAAGAATTAACAAGTTAATACCAAAACTCTCAGCTACTTAGGTGTTTATTAAAGTAACAGAAAATAACAATATACCTTTTTGAAATATCAAGAAAATATCAATCAATTCTAGCTCTCAGTATGCCTTTAATCTATGTATTGCCTCAATATATTTTACCCCCATCTAATCTGAGGTTCCCATCTGGCCAACAATCCCTTCCCCACATCTTTCCTCTTCCCCTATTTACCTTGAGAATTTCAGCTTAGCCTTTAACACTCAAATCGATTGTCACTCCCCTTTAGGAGATTTTTCTTCATTTCCTCTTTCCCCACTTTGATAGGCAGAATAGTAGGACCTCAGATATTCACGGCCTAATCCTTAGAACCTGAGAATATATGTCTCTATTGTGTAAGAGGAATGTTGCAGATGTGATTGAGTTAATGACTGTGAGATTGGAAAATTATCCTGTATTATTATGCTGGTCCTAGTCTAATTAAATTAATCCTTAAAGGTGGAAAGAACCTTTCCTGTCCGTGGCCAGAGGGAGACTTGACTAAGAGAGAAGTGTCAGAGAGATGCAAGGTAGTTGGCCTTGAAGATGGAGGAAGGGAGTCATGAGCCAAAAAAAAAACGTGAGCAACTTCCAATAACTGGAAAAGAAAAGGAAATAGTTTTCCCTTAGAGCCTCCAGAAAAGAATGCATCCCTGATGACACCTGATTTTAGCCCCATGAGACCTGTGTCAGATCTCTGACCTACAGGACCATAAGCTAATAAATTTGTGTTCTTTTAAGCCACTAAGTTTGTGGTAAATTGTTATAGCAGCCATAGAAAACTAATACAACGTCCTCCTGGTCCAGTTAAATGTCATTTTTATAAGCTCCTGCTACCTTCCTCACATATTGCTAACAATATGTTCATAGCACTTACTATACAGTATTGATTTCATCTACTCATTTGTCTGTTCCTTGCAATAGACTTTGAGTGCCTTGAAAGCAGGAATAGGTTTTATGCATAGAACTAGGTATCAGTGAATTCATTCATTTATCATGCAAAACAGTTACTGAGTCATCACTTCACACCAGGCACTGGGATAGACTCTAACAATGGCAATGCGTATTAGCACTGCCCTTTCATTCCAGTCTACTGCTTGTGATTTTTTTTATTAAAGAAATTGGGCAGGAATCAGACGTAAGAAAAATAGGTGACTTCACCCAGACATAGACCCTAACAGCATTCATATCTTTAGATCTGGCAGTCAGAGGACATTAAAGACATATTTGTCTCCAAAAAATCTTTCCAATGCATCAGTGAGGTTATTTTGGGAAATATCATGGGCCAAGAAGAAGCGGGAGAAACTGCAGAAAGGAAATGCAATTGCTTATTTTTCACACAAAGAGTGTCAGGCAGGAGGCATCAAGCAATGTTGCCCATGACACCATCAGATGAATAGCTATTTCTAAGCCAAGTTATGAATCATGTTAGCACTGTCTGTCCAGGAAGCAAAAGAGATAAGATCAACTTTGGGGTGAATTTGTGTTCTTGTGGGCTCTTTGCAAGAGGCACCTACCAGTCACCTCTGTCAGCATCAGGTCTAGGAGGGTTCTGCTCTCTCTCATCCACTTTCTCCCTCTACTTGTGCTGTACTTCTACATACAGATGCCTGCCTCCACCCCCAGTCACAGTTATGCTCCTCAAAGTGACCTTTTCTATAGGGACACACACTACCTTTAACAAAAAGTATTTATACACTGCAGACTTGGTATCTCACCCTCTGTCAAACTGAGAACTTCTCCCCTCCTGGAAAGTTACCTGGGAATGTAATCCTATTTTATCATTTGCACTTACCTCATTTTCCTGCAGGTTTACCTAATCTCTTCTCAGCACTGAGCATCAAGGAATTACACGTTGGTCTGTAAGTGCATATACAGCCCTAGTTAACTCTTCAGGGGGAAGGTTTGTGTTTTACTCTGGCCTATCACATAACTTTCCAGAAATGAAATGCAGGATAAACAAAAGAACAAAGAAGTTACCTATAGGGTGCTAGGTTAGAAAGCCTTGTACAAACATTGCAAAAGGAAACAAGTGCTAGACAGGTCTGTTCACTAAGAAGACATGGGGATATAAAGAAGGAAAAAAACAAAACAAAACAATTCCTCAGTGCTATATTTTTACTGAAACTGACCAAAATGTGACACAGAGTCAATAAGTGAGTTGAACCAAATATATTATGGTGTCTAGGTCTCATCAGCTTTTCCTAGGCTGTGTTTCATGTTCCGTACAATCGTCTTGGTCCCAGCTCACAGTATTGATTAGGAAGATGGCTGAAATGATTGTATCTTCCAGAGTCAGGTTCAGCAACTGCAAGCAAACCAAATCCAGTCAAGTATTTCATCCATTCTCTACTTTCTTCTTCTAATTTAAAAAAAAAAAAAAAATCTCCAGCACAATCCATGATCCTGCAATCCTAATTCCCTTTGAGCCATTCTCTGTCTAGGTTCTTGCTATCCTGACTTTTAGATTTCATGTGGTAAGATTTCCAATTAGCCCAGTGCTAGACTGAAGTTGGCCAGGTCAAAGGTTCCTTCAGAAAGTTCTTTTTCTAATAAATAAACTAATAAAATCACCACTTATGGCAGATTAAAATTTTATCCCATTTCTAGGCATATTTTATACTTTGTTTCATCTCAGCTTGTTAATTGTGTATATTTCAATGGGCTGTGTAGACTGTTTGTGAATGGTGGTTATTTCCAGAGACTTCCTGGAAGATGGCTTGGTTTTTCTGTCTTTAAGATTTTGCCTTTTGTGCCATGCATCGATCATAATGGGCTAGATGATGCTGCAGTGACTCATTGTAGTCACTGAGCTGGGGACCCAGGCTGACAAAGTAGCCAATTATCTCACCATCTCAGTGGAAAACAGACCTCTAGAGAATCTTACATTCACAGTTAAGTGCTCTAGCCCAAGGCTACACATATCACCTCTGTTCACATCTTATTGGTCCCAACCAATCACGAGGAAAACAGGAAGGCAATTATACCATGTTCCAAGAAGTTTGGAACTAAAAATATCTGGTGAACAACACTAATGAAAATCACATGCTGCTATAGAAATTTGTGCTTTGATGTTGTCATATGATCTATAAGTTAACCAATTGTATATCTTGCCCATGATACAGGTGCTTATTGTCATAATAACCTAATAGACATTTAAGGTAATTGCATGTATTAAGTCAGCATACATCTATAGGTTTCAGTTCTTTTGTATTTTGAGCTACTTCTCTTCATCTCTATTGTCACTACCATCCCCTCCAACATGCGCGCACACACACACATACACACACACACACATCCAATCCTCAACTAATGCAATAATTTTCTAACTGGTCTTCTTGTTTCCACCTTTGCCCTCTAAAGGCCATTTCTTCACATGGCACCCAGAGCACTTCCTTTCTGTAAATCTAATCAAGCCTTCGACTTAAAACCTTCCCATTTCTTCCCATCAAACAATATAATACAAATTCTTCACCATGGCTTGTGAGATCTCAACCCTGCCTACCTCTTCAACTTCACCGTGTGCCATTTCTCATTGCTCACTCTGCTCCAGCCACAATGGCTTTCTTTCTGATCTGTGAAGAAGCCAAGCTAATTCCTGCATTGGAATCTTTGCATTAAGCCTTCTTTCTGCCTAGAATGCTCTTTCTTCAAATCTTCACATGGCTGAAATGTCCTTGTCATTCAGGTCTTATGTCAACACACAGTCTGCAAGATGCTGTCCCTAGCCACACAATCTAAAATAGTACAACTCTAATCACTAGTTATTCATTCATTTAACAAATATTTAAGTGTCAATCAAGTATGTGACACACACTATTTTAGATACTCAAGTATATTCATGAACAAAAGAAACAAGTATTCCTGCTTTAGTGGAAGGAGACATGCAATGTATAATAAACATATCAAGTTACATGTTTTATTAAAAGATGGCAAAAAAGAAAATAGAGAAGAAAACCAAAGCCAAGTGGGAGCATATTTGAATAGGCTCTTGCTGGCCCAGATTAAGACAATATTGAACATCACTGTTTTTAAATCCTACCACTTCTATATGATTTGTAGTTCAGTATACTAGAAGTTTATGATTAAATTTGGGGGGGAAGTTTCTCTATGTAAAAGTAGTTCAGGTAATCAATGGAGCAGGAATGATAAAATTAGAGTATCACCAATTTCCATCGTTTGGAGCTAGATAATTATTTGTATTGTAGGAAATTTAGCAGCATCTCTGGCCTCTATTTACCAGATATTGGTAAATATCTCCAGACATTGCCAAATGTCCCTGCGGGGAGAAGGGGATCGTCCCTGCTTGAGAACAACCAAGCAAGGAAATGAGCATCAGCAATTTACACGACTAAATGAGAAGCAGGCAGACATTATGTGCTTTCTGACGGAAGTACAAAACACAGCCTGTAAAGGAGTCTAGACAAAAAATAAAAATAAATAAAACCTGAATCTGATTAAGCCTTACACCTAATTACCAATATACAGTAAGGACAGGAGACAGAGAACCATATTAGACAATGCTAGAAGGGAATAAGCAAAATTCAGACTGTCGGAAGCAAAAAAATCTATTTCTTCAACCAAGGATTGTAAAGTAAAGAGAAAAAAGAAAAACAGAGAGGAATGGAGAGGAAATTTATAGATCAAAAGATTTAAGAAATATAGCAAAAAATAGGGAAATGCAACAATGACTGGATATTTAGCAATATTAAGTAATTATTAATATTTTAGTGAAATAATAGTATTTTGATTATGCCTTTTAAAATAATCTCTTTCTGTTGGAGATAGATATTAAAATACAGTAGATTTTCATTATTTGCAGATTCTATATTTATGAATTCAACTGTTTGCTAAAATTTACTTATAACCTCAAAATTGACACTCGAAGCACTTTCACAGTCATTCAGAGACATGTTCAGAGAGGTGAAAAACACATTCCCATCTGAGGATGAACGAGGCAACACTCCACCTTGTTGTTTCAGTTCTCACACTGTAAGCAAGTGTCCCTTTAAAAATATATTTAGTACCACATTTTTTGCATTTTTGTGGGTTTTGTTGGTGATTTTGCTGTTTAAAATGTCCCCTAAGCATGCTGCTGAAGTGTTTTTGGTGTTCCTAAGTACAAGAAGGCAGTGATGTGCTTAACAGAGGAAATGCATGTGTTGGATAAGCTTGTTTCAAACACAAGTTATGGTGCTTGTTGGCCCCAAATGCAATGTTAATGAATCAACAATATATATTAAATAAGGTGCATTTGAACAGAAACATACATTAAACAAGGTTGTGTATTGATTTATTGATGAAAATGCTGTGACCAGAGGTTCAGAGGAACGAGACCTTCTATTTTCCCTAGGAGTAATGGCTTTGTATTCACTGATTCAGTGTTCACTATGGATTTATAGAACATTATCACAAATAATGATAACACACTGTATTATAAATGTAATTATATGACTCTTGCATTTGCTTCGAAATAATCTCAGATGAGGAGTAGTGGATGGTGATAAATGGCACATTAACCATAGTTGATAACTGTTAAAATTGGGTGATGAATAATTAGGGTTTCATTATAACCTACTCTCATATATGTTTGAAATTTTCCATAAGAAAAAGATAAATATGGAGTAGATGAGTGGAATAAGAATTTCAGGAGGCAGACTGTAGAAGTTTACAATTTCAGTTAAGATGGATAGGCAACATTTCAGGAAGAGATAAGGGAGTTGTCCATATGGATAGTTGGAACAAGAGCAATGTAGGCAGAGGGAACAGTCAGTGCAAAGTCCCTGGGGCAGGGCATGTCTGCTATATTCAAAGCACAAGGAAACCAATGTAGCTGGAGGAGAGTAAGCCAGATGAGAAAAATAACTGGAAGCCAAATCACATAGGGTAGTACAGGCCTTAGTAAGAGATTTGACTTTTACTCTGGGTTGGATAGGTAGCCAATAGAGGGTTTTGAGAAGAAGAGTGTGATATAATCTGTTTAAATTTTTAAGCGATCATCTGGTTTCTATTAATATGTTGAGTCTCAACTCTAGACTATAAAGAATCTGGAATGAAAGCAAAGAGCCCCAGCAGAACATTGTGATAATTCAAGTAAGAAATGCTGATAGCTGGGGCCAGGATAGTAGCAGGGGGTAGGGAGGGCAGTGAGAAGTAATTGAATTCTAGATATACTTTGAAAGCAAAGCTAATAATAGAATTTTTTGACCAGTTGGATGTGGGGTAAAGATTAAAGAAGGATCAAGATTTTTGTAGCTGAGCAACTACAGGTTGAGTTTCCCTTATCTGAAATGCTTGGGACCAGAAGTGTTTTGGATTCCAAACTTTTTCAGATTTTGGACTATTCATATTTACAAATCATAATGTGATATCTTGAGGATGTGCTTACACACAAGTCTAAGCACAAAATTCATTTATGTTTTATATACACCTTATACACATAGCCTGAAAGTAATTTGATGCAATATTTTTTACTAATTTTGTTCATGAAACAAAGATTGTGTTAAGTATCTATGTGTGGAATTTTCCACTTGTGGCATCATGTTGGCATTCAAAAAGTTTTAGATTTTGGAGCATTTCGGATTTCAGATTTTCAGATTAGGGATGGTCAACCTGTGTCTTTAATTCTTATGCTTCCCCAGTCTCCCTCCACTGAAATAAAAACACCGGAAGTGAAAAGACCTTAGCTATCAGGTCCACTGACATACCTGTGGCTCCTGGGATAGAGCCTGGCACATAGTAGATGCTCAGTGATACTTGCTGAAAGAACAAACTGCTCAGCTGCTCTGTGCTTGAAAGTTGGCATTCATGGTCTTAGAATTACCCATCATCTTGTCCAATCCCTTTAAATTTGTGACCCAAGGTATGAAACCACTTGCCTGTATGCAAACAACAGGTAAGTGGCAAAATTGGTTTTTATTTTGTTTTTTAAACTTTTTTTATTTCAGCATAAAATGGGGGTACAAATATTTAGGTTATGTATATTGCCTTTGCCCCACCCAAGTCAGAGTTTCAAGTGTGTCCAGCCCCCAGACAATGCATACCACACCCATTAGTTGTGTATATACCCATCCACTCCTCCCCCTCCCATCTGACTGACACCTGATGAATGTTATTACTATATGTGCACTTAAGTGTTGGTCAGTTCATACCAATTTGATGATGAATACATGTGGTGCTTGTTTATCCATTCTTGTCATACTTCACTTAGTAGAATGAGTTCTAGCTCTATCCAGTATAATACAAGAAGTGCTATATCGCCATTGTTTTTTGTGGCTGAGTAGAACTCCATGGTGTACATACGTCACA